CATGTTTTATGTGTCAAAATGCTAAATGAGCACATTGTTTTCCTGCAAAAGGACCGACAACCTTGCGGCCACAGCTCAAGGCAGCCGCTTCAACAATTGAGGCACGGAACATGGCCCACTCAGACTCAATGTCCTTGTGCCACGTGCAGTTATGGACACCCTTATGTTCGGACATGGTGTTTGGGATGGACAAAGTGTGACTAGCACAAAAGTCCAACAACAAGAACACCGCTCAGGTTCAGATCAGAGATGCCGTTCCTCCCAATCACACCTCTTCAGGTTACACTGTCTTTACCCACATGGCATTGAAGTCCCCTAGTAGAATAAAGGAATCTCCAGCTGGAGCACCTTTGAGTACCCCCGCTAAGGACTTCAAGAAGGCTGGGTACTCCGAACAATCATTTGGTACATAAGCACAAATTGAACGTCAGAGCCCGTCCCCCCACCCGAAGGTGCAGGGAAAACTACCCTCTTATCTACTGGGGTAAACTCCAACACACAGGCACCAAGTCAGGGGGCCAAAAATAGACCCACCTTTGGCTACTGCCCATGGCATCATGCACCCAGCTCATACGGACCTCCTYCAGGTGGTGGGCCCACAGGAAGGCAAACCCATGTAGCTCATATGGGCTAAGTCCGGCCAGGTCTCATAGGTAGAAACCCATGCACTCACCAACAAGCCACTACCCCAGGCCTGGCTTCAAGGTGGGGCTCAGTAACCCACATCCGGGCAAGGGACTCTGAGTTCTTTGATTGATTTTGTCCATAAGAGTTTGTCAAARTGTTCTTTGTCTGGCCTGTCCCCTAGGACCAATCTGCCATGAGAGACCCTACCAGGGGCAATTGAATTTGCCACTGACAACAGAGCTCCTAGCATTATTCAGGTCCACAAATTCAAATTCAAATTCAATTCAAATTCAAAAATACTTTATTGATCCCAGAGGGAAATTAGGTGTTGTTGTAACTCATTTAACTAAAAACTTATTGTAGATGCTGATGGCTGTGGGCAGGAAAGATCTTCTGTAGCGGTCTGTATTACAGCGAAGTTGAAGAAGCCTCCGACTGAAGACACTTTGTCTTTCAATGACAGTCTGATGAAGAGGATGGTAAGGGTTGTCCACAATGTTCTTGATTTTATGTAAAAAATAACCACCAACAACAAACTCCACCACGATAAGGTGATGATACAACGGAGCAAAATGTATGTCCCCAAAATCACCTGTTTGTTCACTACAAAGACTTGTCTGAACATCTGGACCATGTCTTAACCTAGATCAAAAGTCAGGAGGAAGAAACTAATAAATTAGAAACCAGAGGATGCTGGAAATATCCTGAAGTTTGGATGAAATTAGGGGTAGCATTATACACGAGGAACCTTGAACTCAATAATCGAATATACCGTATTATGGTACAATAGTTATTGAAATGTTTAACCTTGTTTTTTTCCATAGTATATGATTGATCATATATATATATATATATATATATATGTTTCTAATAGAACCTACTTTTATTTGAACAGGATAATCAGCCAAGCCCTCAGTTTTGATCCCGTCAGTTTCTGACTTGTTATCAACATTCTGACGTGCTCATAATCTTTATCCGTCCGTCGGTCTGTCCGTTTTCTTCCGCTTATCTGGTGTCGGGTCACGGGGGCAGCAGCCTAAGCAGAGAGACCCAGACTTCCCTCTCCCAGCCACTTGGGCCAGCTCATCTGGGGGAATCACAAGGCATTCCCAGGCCAGCTGAGAAACATAGTCCCTCCAGCGTGTCTTGGGTCTTCCTCTGGGTCTTCTCCCAGTGAAACTTGCCTGGAACACCTCACCAGGGAGGCGCCCAGCGGGCATCCTAACCAGATGCCCAAGCCACCTCAACTGGCTCCTGTCAATAAGGAGGAGCAGCGGTTCTACTCTGACGGATGACTGAGCTTATCACCCTATTTCTAAGGAAGAGCCCAGACACCATACGAAGGAAACTCATTTTGGCCGTTTGTATCTGCAATCTCGTTCTTTCAGTCACTACCCAAAGCTCTTGAACATAGACAAGGGTTAGAACATAGACTGTCCGGTAAATCAAGAGCTTCCCCTTCTGAGTGAGCTCCCGTGTCACCACGGCAGACCGGTACAGTGCCCGCATCACTGCAGACGCAGCGTTAATCCGCCTATCGATCTCCCGCTCCATTCTCCCCTCATTCATGACCAAGACCCCATGATACTTAAACCGCTCCACTTGGGGCAGGACCTCCTCCCCGACTTGGAGAAGGCACCCTACCCTTTTCCGGCTCAAGACCATGGTCTCGGATTTGGAGGCAATGACCCTCATCCTGACCGCTTCACACTCAGCTGCAAACCACTCCAGAGCTGGAGATCACGATCTGATGAAGCCAGTAGGACCACATCATCTGCAAAAAGCAGAGATGTGATCCTGAGGTTATTCACAAAGAGCTAAATGATTACAGACCTGTAGCTCTGACATCTGTGGTGATGAAAACATTTGAACGGCTGGTGTTGGCACACCTGAAGGAGGTCACAGTTTGCCTACAGGGCAAACAGGTCAGTAGATGATGCAGTCAACATGGGTCTGCACTATATCTTGCAACATCTTGATCACCCAGGAACTTATGCAAGGATCCTTTTCATAGATTTCAGCTCCGCGTTCAACACCATCATCCCAGGAACCCTCTCCACCAAACTCTCCAAACTTACTATGTCTCCTGTCATCTGTCAGTGGATCACCAGCTTTCTGACGGGCAGGGAACAGCAAGTGAGGCTGGGAGAGGTGACCTCCAGTATCCGCACAATCAGGATGTGTACTGTCACTGCTGCTCTTCTCTCTCTACACCAACGACTGCACCTCCAACGACCCTTCGGTTAAAATACTGAAGTATGCAGACGACAACACAGTCATTGGTCTCATCAAGGATGGGGATGAGTCTGCATACCGGACGGAGGTGGAGAACAGCTGGTGCTCTTGTGTAAGGAACACAATTTGGAGCTAAACACACACAAAACAGTGGAGATGACAGTAGATTTCAGGAAACACCCCCCAGAACAACTCCCTCCAACAATAACTGGCAACCCGGTGTCCATTGTGGAAAATTTTAATTTTCTGGGAACCATCACATCCCAAGACCTGAAGTGGGCGATCAACTTCAACTCCATCCTCAAGAAGGCCCAACAGAGGATCTACTTCCTGTGGAAACTAAGGAAGCTGGGTCTGCCACATGAACTGTTGATCCAGTTCTACAGAGTGGTCATAGAATCTGTCCTATGCACATCCATCACAATCTGGTACGGAGCAGCCACCCAGCAGGATAAGAACAGACTGCAATGAACAATCAGAACAGCTGAGAGAGTCGTTGGTGCTCCCCTGCCCACGCTTCAGGACCTGTACACAACAAGAATCAGGAAATGGGCAGAGAAAATCATGTCAGACCCCACACACCAAGGACACAGCCTCTTTCAACTTCTCCCGTACAGCAGGAGCCATAGAGCTCCATGCTCAAAAACATCCAGACATATAAACAGCTTCTTCCCCCAGGCCATCTCCCTGATGAACAATGCTAAACACWGGACCTATTAACTAGTGACTAATGCATATATTACTGTATATAATCCACAGATTGCAATGTTTATATCTTTATATAACTTTTTATATTTTATCTTGTTTTATCTTTTTTTCATATATGTGTATTGGAGAGACAACGTCTGCTGGAAACAAATTCCTTGTGTGTGTCAACATACTTGTCCAATAAAGCTGATTCTGATTCTGATTCATAATCTTTATGTCTGTTTTATTTGATTTTATCAATAAAAACAAAAGGAAGAAGGATCTTGGTTTCTTTATCTTCCACTCTTGTCCTGGTCCCTGCTCCTTTACATAGCCTTGTGTTGTTTGGTTGTTCCTGTCATGGAGAAACAGAAAATACCAAAAAGAAGAAATGAAGTAAGTCCTCTGGACGGGTTCTTCTTTATTGAAACGTTTCATCTCTCCTCCACAATACTTATTCAGTCTGAGAGTTTCAGGTGAACTCAACCTTACCTGGATTACTGAGATGCATCAAAACACTTAAGTTGTGAGGTCGACAACTTTGTGACTAGGCGTAAGTAGTAAATGAACTGTTCTGTCCAACCAGGATACTCAAAGCTCTTCACACTACAATCTGTGCCCTCATTTACCCATTCATACAGTTAGGTCTCTACAAAGCTAACATTTACAAATCATCTATGGAGTCTAATTAGTGCTAATTATATTCATACATTGATGGGTCATCAGAGGCATTGGGGGTGAATTGTCTTGTCCAAGGACACAACAACTGAGACAGCTGGATGGGAGATTGAACCAGCAACCTACATGTTCCGGGACGACGCCACTCTTCCACAGCCACGTAAAAAAAATTGAGTTGCCACCCCTATCGTTCGAGGAAACTATGGTTTTATATTGTTTAAAAGTAGTAGCTTAGTAATATTTACCATGTCCTGGATGACTGAGACTATATAAACAAGGAGCATTATGGCATGCATTTTGGGAAGGAGAAGATGTCAAGGAAGCTTTGCAGACTAGGTGGCAATTCACAGATATTCATTTATTCCAGGATTGCACTAATATCCACAACCAACCAAAACCATATTTGAACCAACCTCTTTAAAATTATATTGTAGATAAGTCTTTTTTCTGAAAAAGTTTGTTGAGGTTTTTCAGACAAACTGATTTTTTTGTTACATTAAAATTAGACAGACACCCAAATAATTATAATTAATCATTTATCTCTGACACAAAGAAGAAAATTTAGTTTAGTTCAGTCTATTTTCAGTAGGAGATGTAAAGAAAATATAGAAAAAATATGTTCCTAAATTTGTATTTTAAAAATATATTTCAGTCTTACTGAACGTGTCATGTGTTCTGTGTGTGTCTGTTTTGTGTTTGTGTGTTAAAAGCAGGTGTAAAGTCAGCTAAAACTGCCTAGTATTTTAGTTTTTTATCATGGTGGATCTTTTCAGGTTTCAGATGGAAGTCTGACGGTGCTAACCATAACCCGAGAGGATCGAGGGGCCTACACATGTCGAGCCTTTAGCCCACAGGGAGAGGCCATCCACACAACACGGCTGCTAGTCCAAGGTTAGCCCGTTACTTTTATTCTTATTTTTGCTATTTCAGTACTTTGTTGTGACGCAACTTCTCTCCTTAGCAAAGGGGCTAAAAACATATGCACACACGCACCTGAAAGCGTCATGGTTGTGAGAAGTCACATCCTGCAGTCTGATAGTTTGGCTTTAGTTCTAAATATTATGTCTGGAGGAGACCAGGCACCCTTATTACCTGCCCAACAGCCTCCACAGTGACACACAGCAGTAAGCGTCATGCTGTGGAGGGTCTTTGTCCGCAGTACAGATTATGGAACTGGTCAGAGTTGAAGAACCAACACTATCCTCACAGTGAAGCATTGTAGTGGCATCATCCTGCCCCCATGTCTGCAAAACGCTCATAAGCAGACTGACGTTGCTTTTCTCATCAGCAGAACAGGAGACAGATCCTTATTGTGGTACAGCTGGGTTTGGGTAGGCCTCCTCTGGAATCAGGCAGCCACATATTGGTCTACACAGTCCTATCGTCATGAACTATCTGTCAGGCAAGGGACAAACCTGCCCCATTCCAACCTGTTGAGTTTCCACAGGGTCCATCTTAACATAACGCTGTCAACACTGTGGGTCTGTTTAAACACAGAGCTTAGCACTGCAGGTTTGTTTATATGATTATTTCAGTAAATGACCTGAAGTACAATTTAGTCCTAACACTACAAAAAACTGTGTTTTAGCATTTCTACACCATTTTTAGTTTTTGCTTGTGCAGGAAACACTTTCTGCATCACCACTGATAACAGACCACAAATGGTATCTTTTCTAATTTTATGAGTGAACATTAGGAACAAATATACCATCCCAGTGCTGGGTGGTATGACCAAAATTTTATATCATGGTATTTTCAACATTTACACTGGTTTCACGGTACATCACAGTGTTTTTCTTTTCGTCACAGGTCAGCTGATTATAAAATGTACAAAAACTGCTTATTAACGTTTTTCTTTTACTGTACCTCTGTCTGTGTCGCTGTTTCCCTCCCCTATGTGCRTTTTCTCTGACTGGTGGTTGGAGACAGTAGTCAAGCATTTTGGTCTGGTCGTGAAGGAGGAGGGTTAAGAAAAGATTATTATCGGGTCTATTGTTTTATGTTATTTAATGAAACTTATCAGGATGACTCACATTGCACACCAGTCAGCTCAATTCCACTACAAAACTACTTRCCACAGGTTTTTCACAATAGAAGCACGCTAAAGTCTCCATGCGTCTCCATATAAACATCGRGTGTTAAATCTAACCATGCACYTCACTGAAGAGGTGTTTGCTACATTAAGTGATGGCAAAAACAGGATGTTTTTTTATATGTCAGCCAATATAAGCAGCGGAATTACTACCCGCTGCTGCAACAAGCTGCTCCAACAATAACATTAGCATGCTAATGCATATAGCGGTGCTGTGAGGAAAAGTGTCCCCGGGAAACGGTTCATTGGCAGCCGCAACGGTATTCGGTATGAACCGGTATACCGCCCAGCACTATACCATCCTCATGTGAACAGGTGTAGAGCGCTAAAAGACACCTTCCAGGGAGCACAAGCTTCACAATGACCCTGAAATCCTGCAGTTACTGAAATACCTTCACTACTTGCCACAACAGTTAAATCTCCATTCCAGATTCTTAGAGGAACACCAATCAGAACAAAACTCAACATCCTGCCTCCAGCAAAGAACAAATGGATCGTTTGACACAGGTACACTTCACACAAACAAAAAGAGGAGCCAAATCTGAAAAAGTCACTGTTGGAGCTGCGGTCTATATGAAGACTAGGTGAGAAAAGGTGGGACCCAGTACAGCAGTACTTCATCAGTGGGCTGGACTGAGTGATGGGAAAGGAAAGAATGCAAACTATCACTTTTCTCAGGGCTCAAATGAAACACCAAAAAAAAAAAAGAAGGTTTTGGCTAAAATAAAAATCTCTCCTGATAAGATGTCCTCAGATTAATAAGCCTTGGAATGTAAACACTTATCCAAGGTCGCAACAAAAACGTCTTCTTTAGAGAAATGAGCCTTTACAAAGAACTATTGCTTGGAAGATGAGACAGGTTGAGACAAGATGAAGAAAAGGGCAAAGGTCATCATCCAGACTAGGCTAATTCCAAACAGGGACTCATTTTTATCATTTGTCCGGCTTATAAAATAACTCAATTTCAAAAATTACACACGAGTGTGGAAGACTTACGTAAATGCTTCTGCACGAATCATTTTATATATATATATTTTTTTTTACTAAATAACATTTGGGTTTAATACATAAATAGACCAATGAATGCTAAAGCTGCTGATGGTGCTGAGGCTGCTCAGTGGATCAGGTCACCTGAACAAAGATTCTAGACCACAGAAGTCAAACTTGTATCCTTGAGTGCCACTATCCTGCATGTTTTCCTTGTTTCTTATTCCAACATACCTGACTCTGTGACTCAATAATCTCTTTAAAATCTGTAGCTGGTCCATTCATGCAAATCAGGTGTGTTTGAGCCGGACCTGAGTTTGACACCCCTGAGTCAGTCCAAAAGTTCTCTCAGCTCCCAGTGGACTGATACGTTCTGAGCACTGTGGTCTGTGAGATAATAAAACAGCCTGTCTGTTCTTGTGTTTGGTTTGTTCCCCATCAGGCCCTCCATTTATTATATCACCTCCAGAAAACATCACAGTGAACATCTCCCGTGATGCCTTCTTCACGTGCCAGGCAGAGGCCTATCCTCGCAACCTGACCTACACCTGGTTCTGGGAGGAGGACAACGTCTTCTTCAAGAAGTAAAATTATCATCACAGTCAGCATCTTTGATCTGTTTCTGTACAGAATACACAGCTTCCCATTTGATGTGGAATTAAGGATGAATAACCAGGAGGAAGGAACAAATAATTTAGTTTATTATACAAGAAATGTGCCATGAAGGAGCATTTATACAGTTTGATGTGTTGGTCACAGCTAAATATGCTGTTATCATGTTAAACAGGACTGGTTATTTTGGATTAGCTGCTGAAAGTCAGCTTCAGTCTGTAGAAGGATTTACACCTTTATATTTGTATTATTTTTTCAGGTTACTCCTTGTGTTCTTTTAAAATGCTGCTCATGTGTCCAGGTAATGAGTGGTGTGATACGAGCTGAGAGATTCAAACCTGAACCTTTTTTTTTGGTGTCCTCAGTGACCTGAAGCGGAGAGTCAGTATTCTCATTGATGGGTCCCTCATCATTGCACAAGTCCAACCAGAGGACGCTGGAAAATATACATGTTCCCCCAGCAACAGCCTGGGCCAGCCACCATCTGCCTCTGCCTACCTAACAGTGCAATGTAAGTCTTTTCCCATGATTTATTTTATTGTATTTATTTTTAGTTTTCTATGAACCTTTGTTCATTATTGGCAGTAAATTTAGTAGATTTGACCCATTTTCTGTGTTTTTGTATTGAGTCACATGACCATTGTTTATTCAGCTCTTTGTCATTAGATTTGCTAATTAGCTCTTCTCACGTTCTCATTCAGAATCAAACTCTCGGTACAAGGCAGCAACAATCTCTCCCAACTGATCTGCTGAAGGATGGACCACTTTCAGAGTGGTCTCATGTGTCTTGGTGGTCTCTTTGTTCTCCGTTTGTGAGGGCTACCTGCTCTTAATAGATTTATATGTGTTCCCATAAAAATAATAATAATAATAATAATAGATTTTATTTATAAAGCACCTTTCAGGACACCCAAGGATACTATTCCTTCCGTTTCTTGGTGATGGCTTTAACAGATGATAATGTTTAGGGTCTTGGAAATCTTTTTGTATCCATTCTGAATTGTACTTTTCTAAAATATTTTCTCTGGGTCGAATTAGAAAAGTCCCTTTAAAGGAGGTGGATATGCATTACACATTTTTATTTAATTGGTATTAGAAATTTGCTGGGGGTTTTTGTAAAAAAAAAAAAAGGCCAGGACTGATTCATCATAGTAACAAAAAATAATAATAATCTAAGGGGGTGAATACTTAGTATAGACACTGTAGCAGTGACGTGCGGTGAGGTTCATGGTTGGTGAGGCACTCATTTACAAATATATGAACCCTACAGAGCAGCTTATTCACCATATGATTGACAGAAGTTAATGAGTTATATTTCATATATATATATATGTATATAGATGCTGCTCACACATTTTATCCCTGTTATTTTAGCCGTTAAAAAAGGCTCATGTGTCTGCACAGTGGTTGGCCCACCATCCTCAGAATCCAAGCCAACAGAAGAGCTGGCCCTTGATTCAAATAAAGGGAGGTTTGTTTTAGGAAGGATCCAGGGGGGCATCCACTGACTGTGTCCTACCTATGGAAACTGCCCCCTTCATGGTCCATCATTCCACTACTGAATATGCAACATAATCACACTTTGGTAGTATATGGACCACTTGGTGCAGAGCTGACTTTTAGGACCCAGCAGCCTGCACAGGTAGAGGATGTTAGACCCAGAAAAGCTAACACTCATGAAGGTAACTGTAGGGAAAAATCCAACGGGTCAGATCTGTCCTGAAACACTCTTTCCTATCTGAAAGRTCTTCTCATTATAAGYGCTTCATCATCAACAGTCATTAAAAAATGATCACGTCATTGTAAAGGATGATGTGTTTGGAGCTACTTATGGTTTGACTCCATTAACAACATTTTTGCTTCTTTATCAGTCATTTCTCAAATCCCCCCAACACCTGTGAGTCTATTAAKGGTCTTTCTGTCAAACTTAGAACAACAGAGTATTCAGGAACACATTCAAACAGTAACAATGCTTACATGGAGAATTATAAAAATGTATGATAACATTATGTTAAAATAATAATAAATGGTAAATGGACTGTACTTGTATAGCACTTTTCTATCCAGCCAGGACACTCAAAGCACTTCACACAACATTCTGTGTCCTCATTTACCCATTCACACAGCACTCTACCAGATCTCCTACAAAGCTAACATGTACAATCATCTATGGAGACTAATCAGTGCCAACCACATTCATACAATGATGGGACACACATCAGAGGCATTAGAGGTGAACTGTCTTGCCCAAGGAATCAAACCGGCGACCTTGCGATTCCAGGACGACTCCCTAACCACTCAGCCACAGCCATAATAGTATGGACTGTGCTTATATACAGTAGCGCCTTTCTATCCATCCAGGACACTCAAAGCGATTTACACTGCAGACATTCACCCATGCACACACACATTCACACACTGATGATGGCAAACTGCAATTGTAGCCACAGCTGCCCTGGGGCACACTGACAGAAGCGAGGCTGCCATACACAGGCGCCACCGGACCCTCTGACCACCATCAGTAGGCATGGTGGGTAAGGTGTCTTGCCCAAGGACACAACGTCTGAGTCTACTGGACGGGAATCGAACCGGCGACCTTCCGGTTCCAGGTCGACTCCCCTAACCACTCTACCACAGCCGCCCCAAATAGAATAGAATAGTACCTGACTGAATGTCAAAATGAATCAGTGGTGTTTTATTACATAAAAAATGTTCAAAACAGACAGAATCACTGAAACACATTGGTTTCTGATGGGTGTGAGCACTGACTGAACAGATAAGACACCAGGTTTAATTAAGCCTGGCTGCACAGAATAAATCACCATGCATCACTGCTTTTGTGAAACTGAATTGAGGCTTGATTCAGCCAGGATATCTGGAAAATCTAGGCCTGATCCCCTGATTCTAGTTTTGTGAAACTGCCCTCTGGATGTGGACACAAGAGGAAATGCAACCCCAGGTTGATCAGATGGATAGTGCTGATGATCCTGTAGATAGAAAGAGCCAAGTGAATCCTTTAAGGCCTGCATCACCTGGCAGGATAATTGTGTCGAATTCTGGCCTGGAATTCTGACAATCTTAAGAACGTCCAGATTATCATGGTGGCTCTAAAGATAATCTGATCAGATCTTCCTGCCGTGGGTTGTGAGTTAAGAGTAGTCTAGTCAGATCGGAAGGACATCGGAACTGCACCAACCTTAAATTGGAGATATTCAACAAGTTTGATTTTTTTGGGCTGACATCACAGCGTGTGATGTTCACCTGAGAATAAACGAGCTGCAACCGGCTGAATGTGACTTTCAGCCAATCAGAAAGCGAGTTAACGTAAATACGGAGGGGATTCCAAAATACAGAAAACATAAAAACCTGTCAAGACTCACCAGAAAGTCTACTGGACATTGTCATTTTAAATTGTTTTTCATCTGTTTAAAATAGTCCACAAATGATCAACATTGTTTCCTCCTGATCTCAAATATTTATTTACTCTGAACTCACGTCTGTCTGGAGGTCACGCAAGATTTTTCCTCTGACATCTGAAGTCTCACATGATTTCACGTCTGACGTCTGAATCATGAATGAAATATCTTTTCGTATGTGGTGTGTTGTCTCTTACGATGTGGCTGTACACCACACACTGTAGGAACAAACCTGGTATATCCATGATTTTTTTATCCTCATGTGTGGGCTCTGTCATTGAAAATCAGCCATTTGAAAATCTTGCTGCACCACCAGTCATATGTGCTCCGTTGAAGAAGACTCGAAAGGACTACACTGTTGGCAGACATTGGACACTATAACCAAGTCTGGAATAATACACAGGAACAACTGTGTGTATGAACTGACTAAGATACAGTCAACTGAACATTGTGGTGGTCAACAAGCTACAGAAAAAGCCAGTGGTGATAGATGCAGTCATCCCAAGTGACTTTAACATCAGGAAGAAGGAGCAGGAGAAGATGAAGCAATACCAAAAACTGGAAGAGGTAATAAAGGAATTCAAAAAGAAAAAATAAGTAGGTCCTCTGGATGGGTTCTTTTTTTTAATCATCCTTGATAGAGAGCAACGCTGGTTTGAGAGAGGAGTAAAGGAAGCCATCTTTGTGAAGAAAAACCGTCCATTAAACAGAGGTGGAGGCCTTCATGTACAGTTGTCCTCCTCCTACAATGCTGTTATTGCAAGTATGACTCAGCCCCCTGTGAGCAAAAGGTGTGACTCAGGGCCCCAATGATACCAACACAAAGAGGGAAAGAGGGACAAAAACAAGGGGACCTTGAACCCCCGCTTGCATTCACTACATATACATAAAACGACACGGGTCAGATGATGGTGCACATGACCCTCTATGAACAATAGAACTAATCAAGCCTATTGTTAGGTGATGGCCCTCTTTTACATGTGACTAACCTGTTCGTCCAGGTGGAGGCAGTGCTTATAAGGCTGAGTTCACCTGAAACTCATCAGACTGAAGAAGTCTCTTGGAGGANAAAAGAAAAAATAAGTAGGTCCTCTGGATGGGTTCTTTTTTTTAATCATCCTTGATAGAGAGCAACGCTGGTTTGAGAGAGGAGTAAAGGAAGCCGTCTTTGTGAAGAAAAACCGTCCATTAAACAGAGGTGGAGGCCTTCATGTCCAGTTGTCCTCCTCCTACAATGCTGTTATTGCAAGTATGACTCAGCCCCCTGTGAGCAAAAGGTGTGACTCAGGGCCCCAATGATACCAACACAGAGGGAAAGAGAGACAAAACAAGAGGATGTTGAACCCCGCTTGCACTCACTACATATACATAAAACATCAAATAACCACAGCCGAAGCATCCAAACCAATAAGTCAGGTGATGGGGCACATGACCCTCTATGAACAATAGAACTAATCAAGCCTATTGTTAAGCGATGGCCCTCTTTTACATGTCACTAACCTGTTCGTCCAGGTGGAGGCGGAGCTTATAAGGCTGAGTTCACCTGAAACTCATCAGACTGAAGAAGTCTCTTGGAGGAGAGACGAAACGTTTCAGTAAAAAAGAACCCATCCAGAGGACCTACTTATTTTTTGTTTTTGATTTTTTTTTCTACCTGGATTACTGAGATGCATCAGGACGTAATAAAGGAATTGTTGAGTCAAAGCAGCAGAGGTGCCAAAGGCCACTAGTCTGTCTAGAGGAGTGCAGACCTGGGATCAGCATAGATATTGAACAGAACCRTCAAACTCCCAGACCTCTGGTAGAAGAGCTGAGGTTGACGTGAAGCTGAACTGTTTAGAAAAGCAAGGTGATCTCAGTGGTTTTATACATACAGTACAGTGTTCATTATATCTGCTGACTTTGTACCACCTCTCGTCCACATTATCCCGCCGAAACCACTGTTASTTTTCTAAAAGAGCTCATGTATAAAATACATTCATGTGCTCACCATCACAAAGACCCCACACCTGGTTCCCCTGCTGTAATGCTCCACTGTTCTGTCCCAGCTCCAGCCTGAGAGTTTCTGTCACTTCAGACAAGCGTCAGGGTTGTAGACAGAGCAGACGAGTGAAGACAGGAGGAGCTGGGAGATACAGCGGTTACTGCTGGCATCCGTTAAAGCAACAGACATTTCTCTGCTCTGACTCCATCCAGTGTGTGTGTGTGTGTGTGTGTGTGTTTGTGTGTGTGTGTGTGTCTACAGTGGTAGGCAACACCATAGAGAGACTTTAGAAAAGGATTACGTCATTGCTGTAAGACGGGGAACTTTACTCTTCAGACAGCAGGGGGCTCTCTTTGTCTTTCTGTCTTCTTTCATCCTTTGCTTTATTTTTTTGGTCACATTTTTGTCGCCCTTCAACATTTTTTTTTGTTCTGTATGTGTCTGTCTTTTCTGCCACTACTTGAAGAGATTTGCCAGTATCTTGCTCAAAGCATCCAGGAGTGAGAACCAGTCGTGTTAGTGATCGCACTGTCTGAGGGCTATATTTAGAAACTTGGCAGATATTTTTGTGCACGGAGCCGCTGGCAGCTTTCCTCTGGGTGCAGAGTGCTGGCAGGGTAGAGGCTGCAGAGGACAGCCGCTGGATGTCCAAAGTCCAGCCACTTTTTTCTTTTTTTAATGATTCCTTTGTTTTCTGCCTCAGTGTCACTGCTGTATCCTCATCTCTCTCTGCCATCATCCACAGCGTTATCTCTAGCCTGTCCTCTTTCCTACACTTTGTCTCACTCGTCCTCCKCTTTATTGCACCGATGATGGGAGACCCCCTGGTCCTCCCCTCAGTTATCTCATCTATCATGGTCATCAACCAGTGATGGTCAGAAAGCTCTACTCTCTGATCTCCATTATGCACCACTAATGCCCCTTTTCCACTAGTGCCACTTAGTGTAGTGTTGGTACGGTCAGTGTCGTAATGGTTCAGGTGCTTTTCCATTGACGTCCCAGTCGAGTTCCAGTAGGTGTATTTTGGGCGGTTGGTGGAGGTGGTTTTTGGGTTTTTTGAGAAAAAAAGTTAATGCGCAAAATGAGAGAAACATATTTGCTGAATAAGTTATGAAATTTTAAAAAATTGCTAAAAATTCGAAGTAAAGTTGGATGGAAACACAACTAATGTCACTGCTACAATGGAAAAAATGACTCCTTGAGTTGTTGTTGTAAAGGCAGCTTAGACCCAGCTACTGACTCCACCCCCTAGCCAATCAGCGAAGAACAGTGTTCTGACGTCGCATTTTGGTGTTGACTGGGATCGCTTGGAACCACAACAAAGCAAGTGGCAGTAGTGGAAAAGGGTCATAATGTTCTGTTTTTCTTGGGGTCCTCTGGACCTCTGGTGATCCATTTGTTCTCCTGTTGCATTTTGGAGGGACTCCTCTCATGGTTCTTCTGGTTGTGGTACTAAGAGGGGACTGTATCTAAAATTTGCTTAATCAGTCACAAAATTTCCTTCGATATCATCTGTTAGCTTACCTCTGGGTATAACCCATATTTTTGTCAAAGTTAAATTGATGAGAAACATTTACGATGTCAGTTTGTACAAAATGTGTTGGTGTTACAGTAATGCTGAACCGAGACAATTAACAGAAGAATGGTAAATGTACTGTACTTATTTAGCACCTTTCTGTTTAACCAGGATACTCAAACCTCTTTACAATAAATGTCATCATTTACACATCCACACACATTCATTCAACACTCTACTAGATATCACTGCAAGGCTAATAGATTATAGAGACTAATCAGTGTTTTAAATCCATTCATATAATGATGGGACACATCAGAGGCAGTGGGTGTTCAGTGTCTTGCCCAGGGACACTTCACCATGTGACTGAATAACAGGAAGAATCAAACCACCAACTCTCGCATTGGAAGATGACTCCCTGAACCACTCAGCCACAGATGCCCAAAAAGGATATTCTTTTACATTTCTAAGTATTTGTATTCCAGTATTTCTGAAAAATGATGGCTAAATGTTTGGTTTTCAGAGCTTGAATCCATTTTATAGATTCAGTCACTTAATCCATGACATTTAGTGAAAAATAGAATGAATGTGCTCATGACTGTAGCAATGTGCTTTCTACAAATAAATAGAAATTATACTTTGACACCAGTTTTGCTTTGTACAGTAGATTAATTGTGCCGTGAGTGGATTGCCTGAAAGGTGCGTGTTTAGTTTCTGCTAACACATTTTATGAAAAGCAAACACTGAGTTATCCAAAAATACAAACACATTTTCAATATTCTCTGTCTTTTTCTGCCATTAGATCCTGCCCGTGTGGTAAACATGCCATCAGTCATCTATGTGGCCATCGGTCTGCCAGGGTTCATCCGCTGCCCAGTAGATGCTAACCCCCCTGTAACACTGGTGAAGTGGAAAAAAGATGGCCTTCCTCTGCGGATAGACAAGGTGAGCAAAAGCATTGCTGCTGCTTTCAGGCCTCCTTTTATCCACCTTTGTGCCTTTAGTAGTGTTGAATCCATTTTACTGCTTGTTCCTTTACTGGTTAGGACAAAATACAGCCTGGGACACATATGGTACTTACATTTCATATGTAGCTTGTAGGTACCTGGTGTATACTGGATACAAACCAGCTATGTAGTGAATGCTACTTAAAATACTGTAGTTGAGTTAAACCAACCAGAAGGATCTCAAACCAACACATAAAATGCATCTCTAAATGCTTTACTCTGTGACAGGAAAATATTTGATTCAACTTGAAAACTAATTCAAGCCCAGCGTCACAGCAAAGTTACACCACAAATGCATTTAATAAGAAATTTCTGAACTAAACAAGAATTCATTTAACCCCAACCTCACACTAAAGTTACATTTGTTTTGACATCTCTGTCAACCCTAAAACCTACGGAGCCCGCGAGGGGACATGGGAGATTTTTTTTCTTTAGCGTTCCCACGCAATAGTATTGCGTTCCCTCGCAAAACTATTTCGTTCCCTCGCAAAAGTAGTTTATCACTGTTGTGCCTGCCGGTTTATTAACAAACTCACATGTTCACCCTTAACGAGTTAGCCTACTGCATTAATTCAGCTTCAGAATGAATATATCACACAGCCACGCATGGAAGTCTGTCATATGCCGATATTTTAACACAGTGCAGCCATGCAACATCAACGTCAATTTCACAAACATGTGGCGACATATCCTGTTTTGGTAACCGGATATTTCAAAATAAAAGTCTGATTTAATTCAGTTCATTTACAAAACAATCTTTTGCATGGGAACGCAAAACTATTTTGCGAGGTAACGCAAAAGTAAAAAAAATAAAATAAAAAAATACGAAAAAAAATGTTGCTATGAGCCCGCAAGGGGACATGGGAGGATTATTTTCTTTTGCGTTCCCATGCAATACTATTGCATTACCTCACAATATCTTTGCGTTACCTCGCAATACTTTTGCGTTGCCTCGCAAAATTGTTTTGCGTTCCCACGCAAAAGATTGTTTTGTATATGAACTGAATTAAATCAGACTTTTATTTTGAAATATCCAATTACCAAAACAGGATGTGCCGCCACAAGTTCGTGAAATTGACATTGATGTTGCATGGCTGTGTGTGTTATATTCATTCTGAAGCTGAATTAAAGCAGTAGGCTAACTCGCTAATGGTGAACATGTGAGTTTGTTAATAAACCGGCAGGCAGTGATTACTTTTGCGAGGGAACGCAATACTATTGCGTGTGAACGCAAAAGAAAAAAAATCTCCCATGTCCTCTCGCGGGCTTCGTAAAAACCTTAGTCACATTCTTCACCAAACACAAACTGTCTCTAGAGATTTGATTTACAGCTCTCTGAAGGGAMCTGGATCTTGTGGATCTGTCCCTTTTTAAAGAGCAGTTCAAGACTGAGCTAGTTAACTATAACCCCAATTCCAGTGAAAGTGGGATGTTGTGTAAAAGATAAATACAAACAAATTATGATAATTTGTTAATCCTTCAAATATTCACTCACACAGCTACGTGCTGTCACCATGGAGAGTTTGGGAGAGCAGAGTAGCCATGAACGATATATGAAATTTGAAGGCATGGATTCGGAGGTCATTTTGGAGAAGACAAATGATGCAGACACAGGAAAACGCGGTGTTGAAATGAGTTTCTCCATTGGCGATATAGATTCTATTTGTGACTGGCTTTAATGTCAACCCCTTTGGTCATCTACCTGTATCACCTTCAGAAATCTGTAAATTAAAAACAGTAATTGTAGTTCTCACAATACAACAGTGAGTGAGGGTGGGGTCTGCATCATAGTGATGGAAGCAGATAACAGCAAATTAAAGATAGAAAATATCACCCTTTTATCTGTTACTGTATCAAAGTTTATTTTTTCTATATTTCTTCAGGATTTCCTTTGTAGTGGTCACCCTGGGTGGAATAAACGTTCCACCTGCCTTTGACCTTGATCACGGAAGGCCTCCTTTAAAGAACAGAAATCTGTTCATTTTTTATGGTCATAACATGTTTTCTTAAACAATTAAGGGACATTTTATTTCATTTTATTCTCTATAATCAAGATAATAAACAAAATAGTAATGTTCTTTATATGTTTTGACTTTACATATTTTAAAGTTAAAGTTATATGCTTAACTGAATGACAAGTTATGTTCTTCTCAC